GGAGCTAAAAAGAAGAATGAAAAAAGTCAGATGTTTTATTTGCCTCAAGTACCGATAAATCAACAACAACAGAATCCAGTTCCGGTTCACATTCTGCCTGGTACATAGATAGTGGAGCTAGTAACCATATGACGAATAAAAAGAACATGTACAATACCCGAGAGGCCGTAAATAAAAAGTTCATTATCGCAGATAAAAGGGAACTTGTAGTCGACTCCATTAGAGATGTGGATATTGAATTTGGCTCTGGAAAAAAATAAGATATATAGTACAATTAAAGATGTGGAATATGTTCCAGATTTGTGAACCAATCTACTCGAGAAACGGCAAAAAGGTGACTTTTAAAGGTGAAAATGCTGCATTCCTGATAGTAGTGGCCGTGTTATAGCAACGGCAAGTATACAGAATCAATTGTACAGATTATATAGCAAATCCAAAGAGGAAAAGATTAAGGTTTTTATTCCTGTCAACGATTTTAACTTGCGGCATCGAACGTTGGGTCATATATGTAATGGGAAATTAGAAGAAGTCAAGAATGCTAATGTTGACATAAATTTCGGCAAGGAATGTTCTGAACAATGTGTTGTCTGTGTGAAGGAAGAGCAAACCCGAAAAGTAAGCAGAGAAATCAGTACACGAGCTAAAAATATATTGAAGATTTTCCATTCCGATGTGGTTGGTCCATTAATTTCGCTCTGGAAAAAATAAGAGATATATTACAATTAAAGATGTGGAATATGTTCCAGATTTGTGTACCAAGATATTGGCATAAATGTTTGCGTGAAGGGAAAGCAAAAAGCACCAAAATAAGCAGAAAAATCAGTACACGAACTAAAAATTTATTGGAGATTTTCCATTCCGATGTGGTTGGTCCATTAAAAGCATATTCGTTCTTGGGAGCTCGTTTTTTGTTGACTTTTGATCTAAAATTGATCCAAAGTCATCAGAATGTATCATGGTTGGATACATGACGGATAGTAAAGCTTATCGATTGTTTGACCCAAGCGACAATACTATAATAGTCAGCCGTGACGTGGTATTTCTTGAAAACAGTCAATCAAATATTGAAAATCATCTTCAAATTTGTTCAATCCAATGCTAATTCAATCCGGATGAAGAAAGTCGTAATGATGTCGACCAAACAGTGAATATGGACTCAAGTGTATTGAATGGAAATAATGAAGATCAAAATTAGCTTCGTAGTGATTCTGACACTGATAGTGAGTTCTTGGACTCAGAATATCTAAACAACGACGGCTGTTTAGGCGCTAGGGGTTGTTGGGAGGAGAAAAGAATCAAATAAAAACACAACAGTAATTAGATTTAATTCCAATAAGTTTGGTGGTTTATTAAGTTATTCTTTTCATATTATAACAAGCAAAATTACCTTGTGTAATTTGGGGTGGCGCAGAGACCTTTGTGTGTACTTTTCAACTACTGGTCGACAAGTGAACGCTGAGGTTCTTGCAATCGCAGTGATCGCCGAGGATCATTGTCGATTACTACTACTACATCTACAATTATTTCCAATGAGAGCAGAGTATCTTATGTATCAAAGTGAGCTAACCAACAACAACCACCGCCCGGTGGCATCTGCGCTCTACGGTCTCCGCCGAGGAGATGCCCGTTGTGTCAATCAGCATCCGTGGTTGACTGGACTCGGGAAGTTGAAGGCCAACTTAAACAACGGCTATGTGGACACAAATGATGAAGACTGGGAACTAAATCGACATATACAATCATCAGAAAATATTCGAAGATCAGAAAGGATTGCAAACCGAAATCAATCATCAACGGCATTTTCTGCAATAGAATATGTTTCTTCAGATCCTCAAAATGTAAAACAGGCAATGACATTTGATGATTCTGGAAATTGAAAATAGCTATGCAAGAAGAAATGTCTTCCTTGAAGGACAACAATACTTGGACTTTAGTTGAGCTTCCTGAAGAGGTGGAATCATAATGGGGTTTTAAGTCAAAACAAAATTCCAATGGAAACGCGCTACGATGGAAAGCGAGATTACTCGCAAAAGTCTTCACCCAGACTAGAAGTATAGATTACATGTGAACATTCTCTCCAGTTGTTCGCTACGAATCAATACGATTTTTAACAACATTGCCAACAAAACACGATATGAATATTCATCAAATGGATGCCGTTAACGCTTACTTAAATGTGATTTTAAAATAAACCATATACATGGAACAAACAGAAGGTTTTCGTGATGGATCTAATAAAGTATGTAAGCTAAACAGATCTATATATGGATTGATTTATATTGCGATACACGTAGACGATGTTTTTATATTCTGCAATGACGTAAACGGAATCAAATCTTTCAAGAAGAAACTTACAAGTAAATTTAAATAGAAAGACATGGGTAAAGTGTCTACTGTGCTTGGTATGACAATATCCCGAGCGGAAGAAGGAATCAAAATTGATCAGTCTAAGTATATATAATGTTCTGACTCGTTTTGGAATTAGTGATTGTAACCCTTCCTGAACACCGATGGACTATAATAAAAAGTTATCCGAAAGTATGTCTTCTAAAACCGAGACAAAAAAGGAAAAAATGTCGAAAATACCGTATATGGAAGCTATTGGGTGCTTCTTGTACGCCGCTCAAGTTTCGCCCCTGCTATATACTATGCTGTGAACATCCTGAGCCGATTTGGTACGAATACTGTAAAATGCATAATGCATTACTTAAAAGGAACGGGAACAGGAATCTGTTTGGTTAAAACGACTCGAGAAGGAACTCAACCCAAACAGCAACGCTTTTGTACTGTGATAATAAAGGAGCTACACAAGTGGCTACAAATAACAAATACTCGTCAAGAACAAAGTCTATGGACATTAAAGCCAAATTGAAAAATTGACAACAATGAAATATGTTTGAAATATATGTCAACGAAAGAAATAGTTTCTGACGTTTTTACCAAGGCAGTTAAACCACAAAAGTTGGAATATTTTAAGAAACTTTTTGCAATTGATTAATTTTTAATTTGGCTTTTGTAATTAGATTATTAGAATTGTTAATCTTTAATTCAAGTAGAGTGTTAAGAATTGAATCAAATATTGTACTTTAGCATAAAATAATTGGTTTATTACTTACCTAATCTCAGTATGCTTTGGTACCAGCCACCAGCTGATTACAATATATTATCTAAGTGTGGCCGACTTCTGCCAATTTTGAATATGTTTTTTTTTTTTGGTTTTGAAAAATGAAAACAAAAATTTTCAAAACCAATGATTGGAAGGCACGTACATTGCGACTCGCGCCTTAAAGCTATTAACCAGTTTAGACATGAAATTGAAAGATTGAACAGTTTGGATCCTATTTTTGAGAGAAAATCCAGGCATTTCATTAATTTTTCGCGCTATTTAAATCATTTTAAAAATGAAGAAAAATATGAAAAATTGTTGCATCTAATTTTGAGTAAATGGACATAGCCACAGGGCTATATTTCTATAGTTTTTCGAAACTGTTCTACCTCCTTATTGTACCATACAAAAAAGCAACGTGACTGCTGCTGCTGCTTAGCTAGGTTTTTGGCCAACAAAAACAAATAATCATTTGTGAGTTCAGTGTTGCTTATAAAAATTTCACGTCGTATGAAATGTTATAGAAATCGCATTTTTATCCATTCGGTATTTGCATATGTAGACAATGTGCAAATGTTATTGAATCCTATAAATTTATTTTAGTTTTGTGAGATATTCAATACATTTAGATAAAATATTGGTAAGATATAATTCAAAAAATATATTAGCCGACGAGCTCGAAAACATATGTACGTGTTTTATTAATATGTACATTGACAACACACAATCGTAAAAATATGTTTTCGGCTGCTCATTTGGCTAAAGCGAAAATAGCAGCAGCCGAAATCCGAGCTATTTCTTATTTTGTGTGTTGAATTTTTAACTTTATTGTGGGTTAGGGCTAAACGAAAAAAACGAGCTAAATAGCTATGCGCTGAGCTAAATAGCTGATCATGTGCTATTTAAGCCGTCGCTGTCAATATTTAATAGCAGTTGCACAGAAAGGCTAAGGCTAATTTCAATAGATGCTGGCTTTTAAACCCTGGGTATGACCTATTTTTAGAACTTTTTGTTCTGTAATAAGTTTATGTTTTAGAGCTGCATTAAGCAATGGGTTGTTCATCATTTATTATTTTAATATTCGCAACTATCGCTGTAAAAACTTGGAGTTTTGTGAACATTTTAGAATATGTGAGGTATTTACCTTCACAATTGGCATATCAACGAGAAGGTTAGAATTTCGTTTTTCATAGGAGACAATTTTTGTAACACAATACAAATGAAATTGATGTAAAAGTTTTGGTCCGTTCGTGCCGCTAAATATAGTTTGATTTTATTCAAGCAATGTACGCTGCATAGTACAATTGAGGAGCTAAAGTCATTTCAAATAAGACCATCCATCTCTGCATTTTCTGTAATTTACCTTGTCAAATTTCACTGAATAAAAACAGGTTGCCATCTCTGATTTCTGTGTATACAATGGATTTATAAATAAAAATTTGACAATGAGATGTCAAATAAATTATTTTGAAAAAAAATGTGAACATATGATTGCAGAATGTCCAAAGGATTGACTGCGCCATTGGTTTAGTTCTTTAAGTCTAAGTGCATACCTAATTGCCTGTTCCTCTACGTGTACGCTTAGTGGGCTTAAGCGCAGTAGGGTGTCCAGTGCAGTTTGAGGTGTGCTCTTGAATGCACCCGTTATTAGTAGAATGCATCCGGAGTACATTAAGTATAATATTCTTTAGATATATTTTGGCATGTATTACGTTAATGCCCATATATTATGTGAAAAGCGAAGCGAAAATTTACCACTAGAAACAATAAAAAATAATACATCAAACGATTAACTTGACATATAAATATGAAAATATCTATTTAATAAATCACGATAAATGGCTCCAATATGAACGTAGCCCAACATAAAACATATCTACTCACGATAAATCGTGCAATCATTCTCCGTCAATCGCCGTGAAATACCCAAATTTGCAATGTAATCGGTATTTGGCTTTATTTTGCTATTTTACCGCCAAAATGCATGGAAATTCTATCCTCGCAAATCGAAAGGAGTTAATGATTGATTCGTCTGCCGATTGCAGTTTGTAAAGTTACAAAGTTTTGCAGTTTTTTCGTATTGTTATATTTATTAATTCAATTTCCAGATGGGACATACTGAAAGCAATTCATCTGAGATTGAAGTGCAAGCAAAAAGAATGAAGTTTGATAAAAATTGTGTTTTACGATGGGCTAAGCTAACAGAGAATGCATTTGAACCAGTCCGTGGATCGGAGCGAGCGGCAGGGCTGGATTTGCGAAGTGCTTACGATCTGGTTGTACCGGCACGTGGCAAGGCTTTGGTGAAAACTGATCTTCAAATCGAAGTTCCAAATGGTTCTTATGGTCGCATTGCTCCACGTTCCGGATTAGCAGTTAAGAATTTTATCGATGTCGGCGCTGGGGTAGTCGACGAAGATTATCGCGGCAACCTTGGTGTGGTACTATTCAATCACTCCGATGTCGAATTTGAAGTTAAACGTGGAGATAGAATTGCCCAATTAATATGTGAACGCATATTCTACCCCGGGCTTGAACAAGTCGATAAATTGGAAGAAACTAAACGAGGTGACGCAGGTTTTGGTTCAACAGGTGTGAAAGAACTTCCTGCCATTAAGAATGGTACAACAGTACCAGCAGCTGCTGATGCCGAAACCGAATAATTCTATAATCTCGTTATACCTCTTAAGACTAAGTTAACCAAGTATTTCATGTATTGTATTTTTCAGAATAAATGACTCTTTTTAAACGAAAATCATATACTGTAATAAACTTTGTCCATTATCTTTGCTGAAACTCTCGAATACGTATAACTTGAAAGCATTTCAAATAAATTTCAGAGAAGGCATATTGAGGAAAATCCACAAAGAACGTTTGGGGTGTTGTATGTTCATAGATGTATCTCGTATCAATTCTAAAATAATGGTTTACTAAAATATGCAGTTGTACCAGAAGTTTACAATATCCTCCGGTATAACATGGAGGATTTATTGAGTTTGTCATTCCGTTTGTAACTCATCGAAGTAATCATTTTAAACCCAACAGAGTATGTACAGGGTGAGAAAACTGAAACAAAGTCCAACGACATAATTTTTATTTTTTTAATTTAATGAATAAAAGCAAATAACGTCGAAAATAGCATCAAATTTTAGAGTAAGTTTAGATTTGTTCGAATTGGTCGCCTTTGATACGAATTATGGCCTTCAAATGGCCAATGAAACCGTCACATTCTGCCCGAATGTTGCTCTGCTGTATTTTGCCATTCCCGGCGAAGCGCTTGCTTAATGCTAGGAACACAATTGGAGCGAACGACGAATTTCGCCCTACGCGGCGACAAAATGAGCCGCGAAAATTCGTCGTATGGAACACAATACCGACGAAATTATAAAACTGCTGATGAAGTTGTTTACTTTTTGCTCATTTGTTGACTACAATGAATTATACAAGAACACATAATTCTTTACGTTCTCTATTATAATTTCACTTATGTCCATCTTCTCTATTATAAATTCACTGATATCCATCTTCACTCAGGCGCAAGTACACAAATAAATAAACAAATTAATTAGGTTTTTTTATACGAGTAACAGATAGTAGAGTGACCATAACAAATTTTAAAGTAAAAAGTAACTTTATTTACTAAAACACATAAAATTCGTACAAGTATGGCCACCTTGTACTGTTTTGTTCGCCGGTCGCCGGCCTATGAAATAGAAATAAAGCTAATTGAGTTCGCGGCGACCGACGAAATTTTCGCCGGTGCCGTGATTGTGTGCACTTCCATATACACATATGTGTTTTATTTTTGACGGCGAACATACGCCGCGAAAAAATTCGTCGTTCGCTCCAATTGTGTTCCTAGCATAAGGTGATCGACACTTTGGTATTTTTTAGTGCCAACCTTGCTTTCAAAAACACTCCAGACACAATAGTCCAACGGATTGGTATCCGGAGATTTTGATGGCCATTGTGCGCTGGAAATTAAGCGAGGAACCTCATTTTGTAACCATTCTTGGATGGCGCGTGCTGAGTCCTGTTGGAATGTCCAAGGTCTGCGGCCAAAATGTTTGCGTGCCCAAGGCTTTTATACACCCTCCAGAATATTTTATTCTGATGCCAAGGACGATTAATACGAGCGGAGAGCGAGCATCGACTGTTATGGCGCCCACACCATCACATGGCCGGAGCTTGAGTTCTGGTGGCCAACCGAGTGTGCATATTTTCAGCTGACCTCTTTGGCAAGTAAACACGATCATTTTGTTTGTTTACAAACTGCTGGACAACGACTGTTTTCTCATCGGAGAAAACCAAATTCGGCAGTTCATCACTTTCGGCCAAACGAAGCAACTCTTTAGCTCTTTTGAGTCTATTTTCGTTCTGTTGCGGCGTACGTTTTTGCACTTTTTGGAATTTCAATGGATTACCCCGAGCTCATTCTTCAATATTTGCCGAATGGAATATTGCGATATGTTCAGCTTACGAGCCATTTTTCAAGTCGCTTCTTTACTTTTCGAACCATTTCTCCTGATGTTATTGTTTTCTTCCGCTGGAAAATTCTCACAAAATGCTTTTGTACGCTTGTAAACAATATAATGAGCTGTCACTGGAATACTTTTAACAGCTGTCGGACGAGTGGCTTAGAAATGACAGTTGGTTGCAGTTTTTCATATCACACTATATATATTCAAATTTTAATCCAATTTACACACTTTACAACGGAATTGTCTGAAAATTCTCACAAGAAGTTCCTTGTGAGTACTTTATCGCCTAGAAGAGAATTGTCTATATAGGTCCACGATATCGTATATCCCCCATAAAACGGTACCTTTTGATATTCTGTATTTTGATGATTTAAGCCAATTTTTCAATGGAATTGTCTTAAAATCCACCAAAAGATTTCCTTGTGAGTACTTTACCCCCTAGAAGAGAATTATTATAGTTGTTTATTATAGTTGTTTCATTCTATATTTAACCATAAAGTAGTTCCGGCTGGGGAGCCAACGAAATAAAGTATTTTAAACTAATGTTAAGTTAAGATATTTTCTATTTGGTAATATTACTATGAAATGCAATTGTTTCCATGGTACAATGAAGAGAAGGTAGGTCAACTTTGAAAAAATAGCAAGTATAGAGGTCTACCTGTTTGGCTTGTAATGTCAGAATTACTATCAAAACAATAAAAAAAGCAAACAACTTGTTGCATTGATTTTGAATAAATAATTTAAAACCGCGAAAACTGAATGAATGGTCAAAATTTCTTTTCAATATCATGTTCTATATATCTCTTATGGTTTATTTCGCGACAAAAACTGTAGATTTTGTCGATGCATTCGTTGCAATAAGCATTTTAAAAACACCCGAATTTGAATATTTTCTGAACAATTTTTTATTATTGATAAGAAGACACACACATAAGCAAATGAAGTTGACATATTAAGCCAGAAAAATAAAAAAAAATTAAATAATATGGTAGTTCTGCCCTACCTTGAATTCATTGTACCCATGGTCATCACATATCTCTATGTTTTGTATTCTTAAGGAGCAGCCTTTTTGTCTTTCTTGTAAGATTCTTGCAGAAACAATCGGGGGATGAGTTCTTAGCTACAAAATATTTCGTTACGCCTAAATTTCGACTATGGGAACACAGAAAACTGAGTACCCAGCAAGTTATTCCAAAAGAGTAAAGCAATACTTATTAATTGCAAAAAGTTAAAATTAAACGTCCAGTTGGATAATTGTCTATAAACTCTACAAAACATCTTTAAGTTATTTGCAAAATAAAAAAACGTCACTGTATATATATTTTTCAGTTAAATTATTCATTCTCAGCATACAAATTGTGTCAAAAAAGCCTTCTCAATTCACTACCGTGTACTGAACTTCTAATAAAATTTCGTACAAGTATTGCAACATATCGAGTGTTGAATAAATTGAACATTTTTATTTAATATGTTAATTATACTTAAGAGAGTATGAACAGCATAGAAAGACTTATTCGGACATATATTTTTGCCGGTACATAAAAAGTTTTCGTATCCACTTTTCCTGCTTTTGCTCTTGGTCGCCTAAAAACTAAAATAGGGAAAAAATAAAACTAAATAAGATAACACCATTTCAAATCCGTCACACTCACATTGAGGTGAAATATTTCATCCTTGGTTAAATCACCTTGTAGTATTTCCAGTGGCTTTGGAAATGTGACAGTTTCTGCATTAAGATCTATTATAACTTTCTCAGATTTTTCTGGAGCTTCACGATCTCTTGTACTAAAGAATGCCTTGGGTTTGAAGGAATCTTCTTCGATGGTTTCCAAGGCCTTTTGGACCTTACAATCCATTAAATCGATGCCTTTGGTAGTGGCTTGTGTACTATTTACCGACTGCAAAGAAGCGGCTGGTGTACTTCTGGAATTACTCTCAGAACTAGGTGCCCTTGTCTTACTACTACGTGACGTAGAATATTTTGATGATGTTCGGCTGCTTCTGCTGCTGCGACTGTCCCTGGAACTCTCAGAGGACTCTGATGAGGAACTGCTGGAATCTGAGCTTCTACGATGATATTTTGATTTTTTAGAATGCTTCGACTTGGATTTGCTTTTGTGTCGCCTTGAAGATGATGCATAATAATCACGATCCCGTTCTCTATCACGATCTCGATCCCTATCACGATCTCGATCCCTGTCCCGGTCTCTATCACGCTCTCGGTCACGGTCCCTTTCACGATGCCTATCACGATCCCTTTCTCTATCCTTCGACCTTGACGATCTATGTCTTGAACTTTGATAGCTTGAAGACCGCGAGGATGCCCTCTCAGAGCCTCCCATCCTTAATTGAAGTTATATTAAGTTATAAAGTGTATTTAGTTAGGTTTTCGATTTTTATTGCGATTGTTTACGTTTTGAACTAGTTCAAAGCAACTGTTCCGCGAAAGGAGCGCTCGGAACTATTTCGACCTTCTTCATTCCATGGTAGAAGAATACAGGTAGTCGCATTGACACAGCTGCTGGGACAATGAAATGTCAAACCGATTTTGGAATTGAAAATTTTGAATGAAAAATTATTGACATTTGAAAATATTGTTGAAAAATACATAACATTACAAACTACGATTTGCGTCGTATAGAAAACATATAAAAATCTACTTGTTTTTGACAAAACATTTTTGAGGTATCAACGTTCCCAAGCGTTGATGCATCTACCTATATTCTTCTACCATGCTTCATTCTTTACACTATGTCCAAGACGATCGCAATTTGAATCAAGTTGTTCGCTCTCTAAATTAGTACCCCTATTAACAAATTCAAACGGCACAATTTGTGATTCATATATTCTTCATAGGTAAGAACATTGATATGTCAAAAATTTTACAATATTTTGTCAAAAATAAATAGCTTTTTATATGTTTTCTTATACGACGCAAATCATTCACCTTTTTTAAATTTCGAAATCGGTTTGACAGTTCATTGTCCCAGCAGCTATGTCGGCGCGACTACCTGTATTTTTCTACCATGATTCATAGTATATTTTTGTTTTGTTTTGAAAATGTTGACATTTAAATATTAGTTTTCTTATTTTCCGATTTAACTGAGAAGTACTTGTCAATCAATGGCATCAGACAGAATTTTGATTGTCGACGATTATCCATGGTGTCTTATCGAATGTTATGCATGATGGACGCTCGATTAAGTCAAATAAATAACTGTGAAAATGAGTTTTTTTGGAGGACTAAACGTATTACTTTTCGGTAATCTTTTACGACTGCCTCCTATAAAACTATCAGGAACACCTGTTTTCAAACAGCCAGAACATATCCAACAAGCTACACACCTCTGATGTTTATTCACGCTGTGTGAATTAACAGAAATTATGCGTCAGCAATGTGACCTGACTTTTATTGTCATTTTGAATGCTTTGACAGTCGGTGAGCTAACAACCCAACATTTTAGCAATTTAATGGGAAGACTTCTTCAAGAAACGAGTGATGAGTTTGCAATAGACTACATATATTTATATGTATATGCAGGCTATAGGCTACATCAACGAAATCGTTTGGCCTCAATTTCCGTCCGAATTGATTCCGCAAGAGACGGAGTACATCTTTTACACCCGAAAACCATACAGTTTCCGGCTAAGTACAATTACGGGAAGTTGGAAAGAAGAATGTTGCCTTTAATCTATCTATCATGGGCTTCTACAATACATAAAAAGGCAGGGCAGATCTGTGGATCACGCCATAGTATACTTAGGTTCGAAACTGTTTGAAGAAGGTCAAGCCTGCATGGCTCTTAATATAGTAAGATCTTTGCAGGGACTACGTATAGAGGAGTTGGACTGCAATAAACTAACGGGCAAGAAACCTTGCAATAATGAGGTACTAAATGAATTAAACAGAACGCGAAATAAAAACTATGAATTAAAAATAGGTAAGGTAAGGTTAAGTCATGCAAACATATGTTTACATTTTTTTCAAAATTATTTAATTGACATCTCATTGTCAAAATTTATATTTATAAACCCATTGTACATACACAAATCAGAGATGGGAACCTGCTTTCCTGCTTTCCATTTGACAAGCTAAATTACAGAAAATGCAAAGATGGGAATGTTTATTTGAAATGACTTTACCTTCTTAATTTTACCATGTGTTCAACATACATTGCAATGTTTAAGATAAATGCACTGAAAACCAAAAAATACAGTCGTAAGAATTATAAATATATGCGTAGACTGGCGAGGAATCGTTTCACTGCTAGTAGTTTGTCTTTAATCGACAAAACATATGATTAAAGTACTACTCGCTCACCACTATTAAACCCAAAAACTCGCTTACAATCATGGTAGAAGAATATAGGTAGATGCATCAACACTCGCGAACATTGATATGCCAAAAAAGCTTTTTTTCAACAATTTCAAACAATTGTTTGACAGCTCATTGTACCAGCATCTGTGTGGATTCGCCTACCTGTATCATTTTATCATACTTATAATCATGGTCCAATAAGGAGGTTGAACAGCTTCGTAAAATTATAGAAATACAGCCCTGAGGCTATGCCCGCTTCCTGTCAGACTCATTCAAAATTATATACAACAAGTTGTTTCTATTTCTTTTAGCCTCATTTCTACAATGAGCGAAAAATGAATGAAATGCCTGGATTTTCTCTCAAAAATGCGATCCAGACTGTTCAGTCACTCAATTTCGAGTCGCAATGTCAGTGTCTTCCATTCATTGGTTTTGAAAATATTTTTATTATCTTTGTCATTTTTCAAAACAATAAATTCACAAAATTGGCAGAAGTCGGGCACACTTAGAAAAACATTGTAATCAGCTGGTAGCTCTACCTTACCTTTTTATTGTACGATACGATAGACTATGTATATGTTTATAATACCCAAGACTGAATATACTTTATTATACCCTACACCACAAGGTGGTCAGAGTATTATGTCTTTGTGCATTTGTTTGTAACAGGCAGAAGGAAACGAGATAGACCCATAGTTCCTTTTGATGATCTGCATAGAATCACATTCTGAGTCGATTTATGCATGTCCGTCCGTCCGTCCGTCTGTCCATGTATTTTTGTAAACAAAGTACAGGTCGCATTTATTGCCCGATCCAGATGAAATTTTGAACAGATCATTTGTTTGGCCCAAGGACGAACCCTATTGAAATTAAAGATAATCGGTCGAAATTTAGATATAGCTCCCATATATATCTTCGTCCGATTTGCCTTTTATTGTGCACCAAACGTGTAATATTAGCCCGAATTGTATGAAATTTTGTACATACACCCAAATTAGACCTGAAAATATGTATGCCAAATTTTGTCGAAATCGGTTCAGATATAGCTATAGCTCCCATATATATTGTTCATCCGATTTGTTATTTTTGTCCACCGCCGCCGTAATATGCACTCTGTAACAACAATATTTGGGGAAATATATCAAATACAGCTCAGAAATACATTTGCTAAATTTTATCGAGATCGGTTCAGATTTGGATACAGCTCCCATATATAACTTCGTCCGATTTACCTTGGATTGTGCACCAAACGTCTAATATTTGCCCAAATTGGATGAAATTTGGAACTTACGACCGAATTGAGTCTAGAAGCTAGTATGTCACATTTGGTGAAGATCGGTTCAGATATAACTATAGCTTCCATATATATCACTCATCCGATTTGTTATATTTGTTACCCACAACCGTAATATGCACTCCCTAACAACGATATTCAAGGAAATATATCAAATACAGCTCAGAAATATCTTTGCCAAATTTTATCGAGATCGGTTCAGATTTGGATATAGCTCTCATATATATCTTTATCCGATTTCAAATTAATTGTGCACCAAATGGGCAATACAATTCCGAATTTAAAAGATACAAATGCTTCGGCATAGTTAGTCTTTTGAATTTTAAATTATAATTATAATCATAGCGTATATGATCGAATTCTCCCATAAAAACTTTTAATTGTTATATGGAGCTCTACTAAATTAGCAAAGTGGTGTAGGGTATCATAAAGTCGGCTCCGCCCGACTTTAAGACTTTCTTTACTGGTTATTTTTTGGTTTTTTGTACATTTATCTTCAAAATTGCAATGTACGTTTGACATAAAACCGTTCATTTCAAATGTTAGTACCTACATCTGCAAATGATTTTCAACTTTTCAAATTTAACTGAATTGAAAACAGGTTCCGATCTGTGATTTGTGTGCACTTTCCCGTCTATTTTTAGCAATAAAAGTAGCCAAAAACGAACTGTTATATGCTCTCGCAGAAGAAATAGCCTTAAAGTCGAGTCAACAGAAAAGTAGCAACACTGAACAAAACCTTCAAAATTGTATCAGCAATACCGACGCTATCTAACAGATGATGAATATCAAACAACAAAGTTGAAAGATTTGTATGTTTGCGGTTTTTTTTTTGATAATTTTACAGATGACTATTTGACATCGTATTTATATTATATTTACATTTTTTGCAGTCTTGTTTAAATTGGTCTAAAAAGCTTCTAAAGAGAACATTCTAATAGTAGAAAAGAGTGCAAATTTTGTTTGAGGAGGAGAAACTTGAACGGGTTTTTGGGGCAAAATGTGGAAAAGTAGTAGAAACTTTTTAGTTCTGGAACAAAACTACAACAATTAAATGTCGAATAACGAATTATGATTGACCCACGTACCATGTGAACTTAGGATAATGGTGGAAAAATTAATAGAGAACGAATCACGTTTAATGTGAACCATGGTAGAAAAATATAGGTAGACGCGTCGACACAGCTGCTGGGACAATGAACTGTCAAACCAATTTTGGAATTGAAAATGTTGAATGAAAAATTATTTAAATTTGTAAAAATTCTTACAAAACGCGAATTATAATAGCCTCCGAATGACGTAGTATAAGAAAACATATAAAAAACTACTTATATTTGAAAACATTTAATTTTTTTTTGACATATCAATGCTCCCAAGCGTTGATGCATCTACCTGTATTCTTCTGCCATGATGTGAACTTAGTATAAGGGACTGAAAATGGTAGAAGAATATAGGTAGATGCATCAACGCTTGGGAACATTGATATGTCAAAAAATTGAATTTTTTATGAAAAAGTTAGTGGACTTTTAAATGCTTTTTATACGACGAAAATCAGAGGTTATTATATAATGCATTTTTCAAACATTTTTACAAATTTTAATAATTTTTCATTCAACATATTCAATTCGAAATCGATTTGACAGTTCATTGTCCCAGCAGCTGTGTCGATGCGACTACCTGAATTCTTCTACCATGGGACTGAACGAACCTTAGTAGAATAATACAGGTAGATGCATCACCGTTTGTGAAAGTAGATACGTCCAAATTTGTTTAATGAGTTTTTAAGAAACAAATCTATTTTTATAACTTATTTCTCATATGACAACAATCGGGGGTACGCATTTTAAACATTTTTTTCGAATTTGAATAATTTTCCATTCAAATTGTTTAATTTTGCCAATTCATTGTCCCAGCAGCTGTGTCGATGCGACTACCTGCGTTCTTCTGCCATGAAACGAACGAGGTTTATAGATTAAAAAATATTAAAAAGCGTTTTAAAGATTGCCTATTTTGACAGCCCCGGAATATGTTTCATATGTAATTAAATACGCCACTAACTTTAGTATGTAAATTTACTTACTCTGGGCTATTGTGTTATCTATAGGGCCACTTACGACAAAAGTGTTTTAATACACCTCTCCACTTTTAATCTGACCACGGTTATTCAACAGCAAGTTGAATTCCCTGAGCAAGCGTAGTTCTTTCTCTTAAAAGAGCAATTTATCCAAATATGTTGTTTCTCTGTTGAGACACGCCAAAATTCTCGCCTTCGTTTAGTTCCACTTTTAGCTTAATTTTTATGCAATTTGTTCCTTCAAGACGATCAATTAATTAATTTCTCCAAAATAAGAAACAGAATTGCCTTCGTTCAATTTTTACTCATTTATTTCTTCTTTTTAATTATTCGTCTTTCCCGTAACCAGAAAAAAAAACACTTCTTCACTCTTCAATTGCTTCAAATTAGAATGTTTATTTGTTTTATATAAACATATTTTTTGCATTGAATTGTAGCAGAGCGACCAGTAGAGGCAGAGGAATAACATAAACAGAGATGTAATAGCTTATGACAAAGGTTGCCTATGCAGGTCCATAGACCCTAATATACGACTACATTCAGTATTTTTAAGCTTTTAACAGAATTTTTAACGGATTTAATTTTTCTGAAAATTGTTAAATTTGTACCAAATGGTGGCTTTTTTACTTATTTGTATTATGTTGGTGTTTCTTAATTGTATGTCCGACTTGTGTCCTGAAATTCGAGCTTTTAATTTGTTTTTCGTCGTGCCGACGTATAATTTTCCACAGCCTTCCTCATTATTACCACCACATTCAATTTGTTAAATCACGTTATGTTTTTCCATTTTTGGAGTTTTTCTTTTCAATTTGCTAAATATTGACTTTGTTCTTTGTTCTTTGTTCTAGATATTGACCAATCGTTCTGAGATATTGAGCTAGTGATATAGTTAATAAGTCGTACTTTGTTTATTTTTTATTGTAGAACTATTTCCCTGAAGGTGAAATTCATTGAATTTCGAAATATTAAAATATATATAACAACAAAGACCTCAAACTCGAACAACACTTATTTTATTGAAACATAATTTATTTAATCGTTGTCTAAAAAATAAAATATTTAATTTAAATTTAAAAAAAAATCTTAAATTGCATCTGAATAGAATTATCTTTTAAATAAAATGGCAAATCCCAACAACCTAGTCCGACCACCAATCCTAAACGCACCTACCCCAAATCCTTCCCAACACCCAAACCAATCTAACAGACCCTAACAAGAACAGATAAACTTAACAGACCTTATAAATATTATTCTTGAAATTTTCAGTAGTCAGCTGCCTCAGGTACTACAAGCTACATTAAATCCGAACGCTACTCAGATAAACGCGGTAGATCAGTCTATTGATGCGGAACACTTAGGTAATATAGGTGACTTAGAAAAAATCCCCGATTTTGTCAAATGTCTAAGGAAATTTTCAGGCAATCGAGGAGTCTTTAGCTCTTGAAGAAAGAGCGTGGAAAGAATTTTAAGAATATATGAAAAGAACTCCAAAATACTACGATATTTTGAACACAACTAGAAATAAAATGCAAACATAGCGTTGGAGTCGTATAACACTCCTTTAAGTTGGCCAGCAATTTCCAAGTGCCTTACCCTACACTACGCCGGCAGACCAGATATATCAACATTAGAATACCAAATGACAGGTCTAATTCAAGGGAACTCCACAGTTCGAGAATTTTATCAGGCAGTTTATTCACACCTATCCTTGATACTGAACAAACTAGGAGGATTACGAGGCTCTAAGGGTGCAGGAAACGAGGCTCTAAGGGTGCAAGTACATAAAAGGCTTGAAGTCAAGGCTAGGCATATTAATGTCAAGTTATAATGGATAATGACGGCAGGATTTTAGTGCGGCTCTTTACTTCCTTTATGAAATGTTACAAAATATGCCTAGCCATGACTTCAAGCTTCTTATGTACTTGCAGCTTAAGTATGCTAACACAAACTTATCGAAGCAAAGCCCTTGATACGTTTATAAGAGGACTAAATGGCGATCTACCACGATTGCTAGGAATGAGAGAACCAGCAGATTTACCCCAGGCTCTTTATTTGTGTCTCAAGCTAGAAAACCAGAAATTTTTCACTAATCATGCCCAAAATCAGAATTTCTAGCCAATTTAAAATAACTATTATCAAATATCTCCTAAACAGAAATATCAAAAGAATATACACAAGTTCAATCCAAGCATAGCCTACATTCCTAACCCACTGAATCTTCCTAAAATGAACACTAACCATAATATCGGTATACCAAGATTCGGCCACTCGAAACAGCTCCAGCTGAAAAATCACAAGTTAATTCTATGTCGGAAATAACACATAGTGACAATAGTTCCTCACATAACCTTATTTATAGCGTCGAAGCACCAATAAACGTTTCCAAAAATCAAGTAATCTTTGACCCTAGTGCAACAAACTTCTATCAGTTTGATATAGTATTCCCAACCATCCACAGGCATACACTTCCAGAAACACTTCCATACCCCCGAACAGCTAATTCAAATTCTGGAAAAATACCCAAATACCACTGTAATAAATGGCATCAAAGCACCCGAAGCATTAATAGGAAAAATTCAAGAAATTTTTCCACAGCACTTTGCAAAATATCGCATTAGATTTACGAGCCTCCAAGTAGAAGATATTAAATACAATCACCAACAGGATGAAATAATTATCAGCACACACAAAAGAGCTCAGTGAAATGCCAGAGAAAAATAAAGTAATGATAATCGAAAAATTTTTTTTCCTAGTATGCACAATAAAATTAACAGGATCGTCAAGCAATGTACTGTTTGCAAAGAAAACCAATACGTCAGGCATCCACCGAAACCTGAACTAAGGGAAACACCAATACCATCATATCCTGGATAAATCCTCCACACATTATTTTTATTTATTTTTAAAACGGAGAATAAACTTGTCTTTAAAGCATTGGGTAAAATTTCAAAATACGCGCAAGGCAGAATTATTAGGTCAAGAGGCGTTGAAGATATAAAAGAACCTTTACGAGAATTAATATTTTTATTCGGTGTTCCAAAAGTTATAGTTTTTGATAATGAAAAATCTTTTAATTTGGCTTCAATAATTTTTATGTTTCAAGACCAATTGAATATAGAAATCTACAAAGCTCCACCATATACGAGCGTCGTGAACGATCAGGTTGACCCATGTAAAGAAATTTATGTAAAAATCCATACGCGTTTTGGGACTAAATTGTCTCAAAGATTTAGAACCTAGGTTTCGGAAAGAGCCACCAATCCTCATCAGTTCCCTTGTTTTTTGTCTGGGATATTCTCCCCACAATAACTTCTCGCCCAAATAACTTCTGGGGAAAATATCCCAGACAAAAAAACAAGGGAACTGATGAGGATTGGTGGCTCTTTTCGAAACCTAGGTATTCCCTGCCTTACCCCTGGTAAACATAACCATCGTTCTCCACTAATATACAAACGATGTTTTTATGAAAACACCAATAGAGGGATTAAGCCTGACCATTTTGCAACTACAAAATACTATGGTATCCCGAACAAACAAGACAACACTGTTCTAATTATTTAAATATTTAAATAAAGTTGATACTAATTTTTTTAAGACCTTAACGCACAAAGGTCTAACATATATATTTTGTAGGGTCTATCATGAATACTTTGAGGTGTCACAAACGGAATGACAAAACTTTCCTAGTCCTTAGTTAAATCGTTACGAGTTCGGGCAACAAAACTCACACTTGGACCACCATGAAGTAATAGAAACCTCTATGCCAAATTTAACTCAATTTGAAAACGTATCCAATGGCGAGTATGCTCATTATACAATATTTTAATTTTAATTCAATCGTAATGGTATGGAATGCAAAAACAAAAAATGACAACAACTTGCAACTGGAGAAATAACATTTATGATATTTTATTGTGTATTTTTCATTAATTCAAATCATTTTAAGGTATTTTATTTTAACAGTTGATATTTAAATCAAAATCAAGTTCTTTGACTGGTTTCGTGCCATTAAAACCAAGTCCATTTTACTCAGGAACATGCACATACTAACATACATTTTGTGATACATACACATTATTTGTTTATTTTACGTTCTTCTTTATGTTATACATACTACATACATATGTTTTACATCGCTATATACATAATTTATTTTAGTTAATTTTCATAACATTTTCTATTTTTCCATGATGAAAAGAAATGGGGGGCTAAATAAGATATATATATGTTTTCATTCATTGTGGACTTCACTTGTTGCGGGTCTTAGACCTTGATGCGATTGTGATTGCCCTTTTTGGCTGCTATTGGTAACTTATCGCCTTCCAAAAATGGATTAACGGCAGCAACGGCTGGGGAAATGCCAAAGTGTTTCTTAACTGGTGCATTCGAGCTGTCAATGGAATTATCATTCTGAAACTGGTGCATTAAGAATTTCTCCATCGTTGAAGCCATTTCGCTGTTGCCAGCACTAGAATCCTGACCAGCACAATCGAACATATGTTCACTGTCACATGTACAGTCCTGGGCTGCTTGGTATTCGCGACTGAACAGTGCCGTATTTTCGAAATCAGAAATGCAGCCTGCACTTTGATCATAGCCCTGGGGACAGGGATTCGGGGGATTGCAATAGGCTGGCAAACTTGCATCGGTTTTTATCAAAGTCGGGAAATGATTGGGAGCTTCACCCATACCCCCGGACACATATTGATGGCCCCACAATGAACTGTGTTGCATCAGTTCCTGATCTCGTATGGATGGGTTGGAACCCCCAGGGAATATATTACGATACTCGTAATCCTCGGGTGCATGTTGTCCCGAAGAACGTGATACGAGATCCAGGCCCTTGGGTAAATCTGTATCAATATCGAAATAATTACTTAGTGGGTCGTTTTCTTTTTCCATGCGATTTAGTAGCTCCGTGAGAAGAACATCAGCAAAAATGCTTTCCTTAGACATTGGTGCATATGCCGAAACAAAGTGTCCAGCTGTCAGCGTCAAAAAGAGAAACACGAATTGTGTGGCCATTGTTTTTTTTTATAAATTTCCTAAAAATTACAAATACATTATTTTAACAAAATTCACACTCTGTGGAAAACATTTTATATTTTTTAAACGTTTTTTATTGTATATCTTTGTTTTAATTTGATAATTTACCTTTTTGCGTGAAATTTTCGTCTCTGCAAACTTTACCGTTATCGATTATTCCGGATGTTTGCCAACACAACAAGTGTGTGTGTATCCCAGTTTTGGTTTGCATACTTTTAGGGATTCCTAGTCAAACAAAGGTGGGCAGCAAAAGTGAAATTCGTTCCATACACTGATTACACGATTTTGTAACGGATTTTTCATGAAACAAACATTCAAAATATTTTTAGAAACAAAAAATAAAACAATTACGAAATATAAATTGAATAAATAGTAAATAAAATTAACATAGTAGAATTATTAGAAGGTAGAAGCAAAACTACAATAAAGGTCAAATTTTCTTTTCAAAATCATGTTCTATATATCTCTTATTGTTTATTTCGCTACAAAAACTGTAGATTTTGTCGATGCATACCTTGCAATAAGCATTCTGAAAACACCCGAATTTGAATATTTTCTGAACAATTTTTTTTATTATGGAAAATAATTCATACACATAAACAAATGAAGTTGACATATTAAGCCAGAAAAATAAAAAAATTAAAATCATATGGTAGTTCTGCCCTACCTTGAATTCATTGTACCATGGATGCATCAACCCTTGAGAACATTTATGTGCCAAATTTTTTTTTAATATTTTATCAGATATAAATCGATTTTTAAATGTCTTTTTATACGACGTCCATAGGTGGTTGTTATAATATGCATTTTCCAACAATTTTTACAAATTAATAACAATAATTTTTCAAATCAAACCCAGAAGCTGTGTCGATGCGACTACTCGTATTCTTCTAACATGTATATGTCCAAAAAATTAAACAAAATAAAATAATTTAAATGAATTATTTTAATTTCAAAATGCAGAATAAATATTCCTGATTTGCATAATTTTAATTTCTACTGAATTTTAAAGTAGTTTAGAAATATATCAGACGTCTGTGTAACTCGATTGCTTTGGCCTTATAACGCGTTGAACCTTGTTAATGTTGCAATTTCGGATATTTTGCACTAATTTGCAGGTTCTAGAACAGGCATATTGATTATAAAAAACTGTTTAGGAAAAACATTTATAACACTGGCACCCATGCTACAACTAATAGAAGGAAGCAGGAAAATCCATGGTTCAATGATATCAAGGTAGGGCTATGATACCATATGATTTCAATTTTTTTTATTTTCTTGGCTTAATATGTCATCTTTATTTGTTTATGTATGTGTTTTCTTTTCAATAACAAAAAAATTGTTTAGAAAATATTCAAATTCGGGTGATTTCAAAATGTTTATTTCAACGTATGCATCGACAAAATCTAGAGTTTTTGTAGCGAAATAATTCCTTAGAGATATATAGTACATGATTTTGAAAAGAAGTGTTGACCTTTCATTCAGTTATCGCGTTTTTCAATTATTTATTCAAAATAAATGCAACAAGTTGTTTGATTTTTTATTGTTTTGATACTAATTCTGACATTACAAGCCAAACAGGTAGACCTCTATACTTGCAATTTTTTCAAAGTTGACCTACCTTCTCTTCATTGTATCATGCTTGGTACCAACTGATTACATTTATTTCTAAGTGTGTTCCACTTTTACTAATTTGTGTACGTATTTATTGTTTTAAAAAATAAAGCACAAAATATTTTCATAAAGAAGTAAGAGACGTGCATTACGTTGCTCGCATTAAAGCGGTTAACCAGTTTTTCCATGGAATTGAAAGATTAAACAGTTTGGATCATATTTTTGAAAGAAAATCCTTGCATTTCATTCATATTTCGCGCTATTTATCCCCTTTAAAAATTAGGAAATGTATCGAATAAATAAAAACAAATTGTCACATATAATGTTGAATACTTCTGAGAGGTAATGGGCATGCCCTCAGGGCTATATTTCTTTAGTTTTACGAAGCTTTTCTAACTCCTTATTGTACCATGCATTTATGATACAATAATTACAAGGTAGAGCAGAATGATTACTTTGGAGAAGCACAAGCCTAAAGCTAGAATCTTGTAATTTCAAATTTACCAATTTTTGCTTTTGACACTTTTCTCCCAATATTTTTTATAAAAGAAAATCCCAAAAACTAATGGAACGCTATGCCACAAATTACACAGCAACACTTTTATATATAAAATTTCAAGTCGCTGCCATGTGAAGATTTTTTCTGATAATAGAAACAAATACATTGTTATACTTTTAAAAATGACAATTCCGATGTGGCGGAAACTTTTTTACAATAAAAACGTGACATCGCATCTGGCATGGTAAAATTAAGAAGGTCAAGTCATTTCACCTAAGCATGTACATGTCTGAATTTTCTGTAATTTTTCTTGTCAAATTCCATTGGAAAGAACAGAGGTTCCCATCGCTGATACGCACAATGGATTTGTAAATAATAAATTTTGACAATGAGATTTTGTCAAATGAATAGATTTTAAGAAAATTAAACATACGATTGCAAGACGTTACCTTCTTCATTCTACCATGGCATCTGGAAACAAAGTCCAAAATTGCGCAATTTTTTAAATTCAAATATATTTATACCCTCAGCTATAAGGCTAGAGAGTGTATATATCATTTGATACGGTCAAAACGTGCCTAGTCGAAATAACGGTTTTAGACCCTAGGTCTCTTTGGACCAAATGCGTTTCAGATCATTTGGAGTCGATCTAGCGATGTGCTTCTGGCTGTCTGGCTGTCTGGCTCGATAACTCTCGAAGGGAGTATCAGATTTTTCTCCAAACTTGGTACATCTCAATATTTTTGTCAAACTTATATCGAGTTCGAAGATTGGCAATATCGGTCCACTCCTTCTGTAACCTCCACCACAAAAGTTCGAAATTTTTTAAAAAATATGTGTTCTGAACAGAAAAAGAGAAACGATAATCTGATTTTGTTCCAACTTTGCAAATCCTAATATTTGCGTCAGTGCTAGGTCAGGTGCGAAGATGGGCAATATCGGTTCACTCCTTCAAGTACCTCCCTCGCAAAGAGTCAACATTTTGAAAAATTACAACTCTTATATAATGTGATGTAAGGGTCTTTATTAACCCAAGATCTTGTGTTAAGATGGAATATATATGTCTTCTGGTACCTCCCCACAAAAGGTCGACATTTTTAACATTTCATATATCTCATATAAAGTGATGTAAGTAACCAAAGCAGTCCTGTAGACTGGCACGTCGCAATATATATATCATATTTATTCCGGTCCGATATGAAATGGACAATATTGGCCCTTTCCTTCAGAACCTACCCCAAAATTTAAATAATCATTACAGAAGTCAATACGTGGTACAATGAAGAGAAGGTTGATCAACTTTGAAAAAATTGCAAGTATAGAGGTCTACCTGTTTGGCTTGTAATGTCAGAATTAGTATCAAAACAATAAAAAATCAAACAACTTGTTGCATTTATTTTGAATAAATAATTGAAAACCGCGAAAACTGAATGAAAGGTCAACACTTCTTTTCAAAATCATGTACTATATATCTCTAAAGGATTATTTCGCTACCAAAACTGTAGATTTTTTCGATGCATGCGTTGAAATGAACATTTTGAAAACAACCGAATTTGAATTTTTTCTGAACAATTTTTTGTTATTGAAAAGAAAACACATACATAAACAAATAAAGATGACATATTAGGCCAAGAAAACAAAAACATAAAATCATATCATAGCCCTACCTTGATATCATTGTACCATGAGTCAATATATATATTTAAATAACTGAAAGTTAACTTGTTTGGACATATATTATATATTTAACTACGTTGTTTGACTCTTGTCATCTGATTGTGTTTCCCCATGTCGGGTCCGTAAACAACGGAACCTCCCTTTTACCTTATTTTTTATAGGTCATTATGATTGCATTCTCATTTGTTACGTTTGGGACGTTTTTAATGTTGGTGATACAAGGGGCGCATTTACTCTGTTGTTTTTATTATTGCAATTTTACATATTAAATCTTAATGTCTTAATTGAGGTTACCTTAAGTCAATTGTACAATGCATTTTCCCTGTAACTCCCGCTCAATCCAAGTGCCTGCACCATTTTGTTCAATGGTGTGTAAACCACCTTTCATTATTTTCATCTTTCCCATTTTTGTTCAACAATGGTTCAAATTTAATTTGTAGCTAGTTCCGCGCTCTTTTAGTAAATGTGTTCAGTTTTCATGTCTCATTCGTAAACAACGGAGTAGCCAGGGATTTAGCTTTCTGTTTATTTTTTATTAAGTATTCCTTTTTGGCCTTTATATTCGTTTCTTTGGGGACGACTTTCATTTTGGTTTTCCACGCGCGCTCAAACAGTTATTTAGAGTTCTACTTGTTCTACGTTAAGTATATCTATCAAAATGGCAACAAAAGAAGACAAATCCCAATCCTGGAAACGGCCAGACGAGGTGAGTTGCTTTTGCATTATATTAACATGGACGTTTTAGTTTTGTTTACCCTCTTTGACTTCTACAGCTTATGCGCTTGCAAAGACTTAAACAAAAGAAGAAACAACTTGCGGCACGTTTTAATTCCAACAACAATAATAACAATGCAAAATTTGCAATCACAGAGACTGATAAGTCTTCACTTTTGGAGGCTAAAATGGCACAGAAACGAAAGAACCCATTTGCAAAGTAAGTTAGTTTTAACGCGTATCCGATATATGTGATTATGTACTCCCTCCTCTATTCAGATCAACAGAAAATTCAAAAAAACCAAAAACAGATTTAGAGTCTGAGGACTCGCTAATGGGTTTCATCAGTTCACCAGCTTTGCCCAAAAAGGAAACATTTGTCAAGGAAACTCCAACACGTCCCCCTCCAGCGAAATTAGTCTTACAACCGTTTGATCCAAACGCATTTTCGAAACTGCTACAACAATCAGCGCCAGGTCAAGAAGATGAAGATGTGGTAGTGGAGCAAAATATAACGAAACATTTGCCAATGGACTGGAGCATAAAAAGTCGTGTTCGATTCTTTTGTTGTACAGATCTGCCAGCAACTCAATTGAAAACCAGTCAACTGGCCAGTGGACTAACGAGTTTTGTTCGTTGCTTAGACACACAGAAGGAAGAGGAAAACGGTCTCGACATATCACCTGCTACAAGATTTAATCAGGCAACCTATTATTGGCAACATCCTCATATTCCTTGGATGACGTTGTTTCCGCGTAACGCTCGGGAAAATGCTGGCATAACTGTTGGTGAACGCGAAAGGAAAGCTCTGGCCGAGGACTGGGATTACAGTTTTCGAGGACTATTTCAGTTACTGAGGGCAAGGCAATGCGCTTACTTTTACCTTTGTGCTAATGGTTTCACAGTGCTTTTTCGTGCAGCTGGAACAGGAGGAAGAGCTGAAATTCATGCTTTAATGTCGCCATCAACCAGAGGAATGCGCCATGCTCTGCGTCAAGAGGGCATTGAATATACTATGCCCCTAAAAAAGGATGGAGGTGGCCTAAATAAGTCCGTGGAAGGGGAAAATAGCAATTCTCCACCAACAAATGGAAATTTAGCCAACTCCGAAGGTACAAACGAAAAGGCAGAAAATTCAGAAAAGCTTTGCAATGGAGATGATGCTGAAGAAAACGCTGATGATGATGACGACGATGAGGAAGAAGGTGATGATTGGCTACACAGTCTGGGTGTCGACGAAAAAGAAATACGGAAAATACAAACGGCTCACCAACGAAAATTAAAAGCCCAGGAAATGTCGGAGGACTTTAGTGATAACTCACTGCTGCTTATAGAAGGTGTTGAATGTCAAGGCTTCTTCAGTTTTTTGCTCAATGCAAAGAGTACGATAAGCTCGATCGGTCGTTTAGCTGGGGTCCCTCCGACCTTGTTATCTCCAGTCGCATTTCCCAAGGCGACAATGATGCATTTAAATACCCGTTCAAGTAAAGTACGAATGGACGGTGTCGACTACTTTAGCATCGAAGTAAAGGGTACAATACTACCATCATTTCTTCCCTATATCTGTCACCTGCTCGGAGAGACCAAGGACACTTTTAGTGCAACGTTAGCCTCATCGATGCACACCTTGGCTTTTAGCAAAGCCACGCATAAGCTTCTTGTTGATGATTCTGCTGGTCAGAATCAAGATAAAAAAGACGAAAGTGAGCAGCAGAATGCAGAGATAGAAAATGCTGCTGGTCAAGTATTTGGTAAAGAAAATCTCTCGGATTGTGGTTTGCAACCGTATGTGGTGGAAAACATGTGTCGTACGGGCAATCAAGCAGTTACACTTTTGGAACGTGTCTGTTATGATAAAGAATATGGGTTTGCATGGAGCTAGTTAAGTTTATTATCGTGCTTTGTCCACTTCACTAGCAATTAAATTATGTCATTTTACTCGTTGTTGTATTTATGTTATAAAACATCTCCACGAATGTTAATTAAAACTTAGCTCTTATTTTATGGTAGTAATAATTTGTTTTAATTATGTACATCGATCATAGTCTGTCGTAGCAGACAAAAGTGCTGCTAAATGATTGGCAGAAAAATATTTTTTATATTACTTGAATGAAAAAAAGTTTATCGGATTTTGAAGCAGGAATTCAGTATTTTATAGCAGGATTTCAGTGATCAACATACAAATTTTATTAGTCAAAATCCATCCTCACATTCTAAACTGTTCCATAAGACCTCAGATTTCGCTCATTTCCACAATGGAACATCCATCCGATTTAAAAATTTCTTTAACGAAGACTTATTGTTTTCTAAAAATATTTATTTTTAATTAAAAACTAAATTGCTATGTACTAGTGGTCGACTATAATTAATTCGTCTATGCTCCAGTCCTCATACGAATGATCTGGAAGGTATCGTCTAATTATAATGGGAATTTTCTTTTGTTTCAACTCTTTCATAGCGATTTGTAGAGGATCCGTTTCACCTTCTAACTCAACCATAATTGGAGCACACATAGCAATTTGCAAGGCTCTGGTACCTAAAACACGAGCTCTTTCATATTTCGTCATGTACTTAGTGGTGATGCGCTTCGATTTGGGTACACCGCCTCCAGCTGCTCCGGGTGCTATAATCTCAATGTTATCTACCTCCTCCTCTTGATTAATTTCATCGATATTGTCCTCCTCGTCCACATCATCGAACTCATCACCTCCAACACTGGAAAAAAAAACAAAATAACAAAAGTTAGAAACAAAACGTGGTGTGTATCGCGGTCAATTTCGGAGGCTAATGCACAGGATTTATCGCGCTAAATTCAGTGAAATGCGATTAGTGTATACTTACTCGTCATTATCATAATCTCCATCATCCATAATTAAAGTGGTATAATATCAGAATTTATAGAAAAAAAAAAAGAACTTTGGTTTGTTTGTTCGGACACACACTTTCAATTACTTCGAGCAGGCAACAAATGGTGAGCAGTTGCTTATTTTCGTATAAATGCAGTACTGCCAAGCTAGAGTGCTGCCAAAACATGTATTTTATTTTACACAATTTATCATGGTAGAAGAATTCAGGTAGTCGCATCGACTCAGCTGTTGGGACAATGAACTGTCAAACCAATTTTGGAAGTGAAATTTCTGAATGAAAATTATTCAAATTTGTATAAATTGTATAGCAATCGGGATATTGAGAAAATCAATATGAAGCATTGATGCCGAAAAAACCGAAAAATTAATTAGAGACTAAACAAGGCTTAGTAAAACCTAGAAGGTAAAACTATTCATTCTTAAAATATTTTTTAAAAATTTTGTACCACTTTTTCATCCATATTCTCTTACAGTTTTCTTTCTTTTTTAAGCACACTGTCAAAATTGCCAAAAATGTATCGTCCGTTCTAGATATTAACTGAAAAGAACGAAATCAAAATGAATGCATGAACCGTGTGCGGTGAAAGCTTCATGCTCACGTACACGATTTTGATTTCATGCATTTTGATCGTCTTCGGGCACTTAAGGCTCATGAACGAGCCATACGTTATTTCGTGCCAAGCGTCATCAATAATACAAGTAGACGTTCAGCATCGGCCATGGTACAATAAGGAGGTAGAACAGCTTCGTAAAACTACAGAAATACAGCTCAGAGGCTTTGCCCGCTTCCTGTCAGAATTATTTAAAATTATATCCAACAAGTTGTTTTCAATTATTTGATATTTTTGTTAATTTTTAAATGAGTCAAATAGCGCGAAAGATGAATGAAATGTCTGGATGTTCTCTAAAATATGAACCTAAGTGTTCAATCTTTCAATTCCATAGCGAATCTGATAAATATTATTAATGCGCGCCCCGCAATTTAAGTCTCTTCCAATCATTTGATTTTCTACTGTACCTTTTTATTGTACCATGAATTGGGCTATGGTAAAGGCCTCAAATTTAAAACTTGACAGGACCGATGCACCGTACTTAAATACCCACCATTCCCACTATGGTAACATTTTCCGTAACATCGTATTAGCCAAAAACGCAAGGTCCATTTCTCCCAAATTTAACGTTTTCCAATTGAATACATTCACATTTTCCTATGATTTTGTTTATGGAAGAACTATAGAGGTAGTCTCATTTGCTAAATCAAATATAGTAACCCTTTTCTCACGAACTCGACATTGTCATATTTCCATGGTTGAAGAATATAGGTAGACGCATCGATGCAGCTGCTGGGACAATGAACTGTCAAACCAATTTTGGAATTGAAAATGTTGAATGAAAAATTATTTAAATTTGTAAAAATTGTTGAAAAATGAATATTAAAATAACCTCAGAATTACGTCGTATAAGAAAACATATAAAAATCTACTTATATTTTAAAAGAAATTTAAAATTTTTTGACATATCAATGCTCCCAAGCGTTGATGCATCTACCTGTATTTTTCTACCATGCATATTTCGAATGAAATATTTTTTTCATATTTTGAATATTAACGTACGACGAGTGGCGGATTTCACAAAATTAATAAACAACCCTTTTTTCCGTTATTTTCTTGACACGTTAAAAACAATTATATGTTCCATATCTTCGAAAGCCCAAGTTTATTTATCATTGAGCTTAAACACATAAAGATGGCGTTTTTTAAGTTAGTCTTTAAGGATGAAAGCCCAAAAGTACCTGCTGAAAAATGTTGCTAAAATCTTCACAATATCTGCCATATGGTTTCTATACTAAAAATAAGGGACGATAGTCTTATTCAAGTATTATAGCATGGTACAACTAAAGCTGCAAGTACATAAGAAGCTTAAAGTTATGGCAAGGCATATTTTGTGACATTTCACAAAGGGAGTACAAAGTCGCAATAAAATCCTGCCGTCGTTGTCCATTATACCTTGACATTAATAGGCCTAGCCTTGACATCAAGCTATTTATGTACTTGCACCCTAAGAAGGTAAAGTCATGTAATCATATGTTTACAATTTTTTTTTTCAAATTTATACATTTGACAACATCTTATTATCAAAATTTACATTCATAAATCCATTGTATACACACAAAATCAGAGATGGGAATAGTTTTTTATGCATTGAAATTTGACACAGAAAATGCAGAGCTGGGACTGCTAAGTTGAAATGAGGTTACCTTTATATCATTGTACCATGCATTATAGCAAACAAGGCAAGATATTGTCTTATATTCCTCCTTGACTTTTATAAAGTCGTGAAAGAGACAAAATATTCGGACAAAAATTAATGAAAATTTCTTCCCAGCTGTACTCCTATATTTAAGGAAAAACTACAAATTATAAATTTGACAATGAAGGGATCATAGTAAAATTTAGAAGGTAAAGTCATTTCAAATAAACTTTCCCATTTTTGCATTTTCTGTAATTTAACTTGCCAAATTTCACTGCATGGAAAGAAGTTTCCAATTTCCGATGTGTGTATGTACAATGGATTTATAAATATACATTTTGACAATGATGAATATGAAAATATGATTAGTTGACTTTACTTTCTTAAGTGTACCACGGATCCCCTTTTTATTTTCAGAATACAACAGTACGTTCGACGTATTTCCTTAACATTCATATAAATATCAATAAGGAGGTAAAACAGTACTGATATATAGCCCTGTAAAACAAACAATATTATCCATTTGTCAACATCTCATTGCCAAATGTATATTTAATAAAAAACAATTGTCTATACACAAATCAGAGATGGAAACCTTTTTTCTAATCAGTAAAATTTGAAAAGGTAATTTACAGAAAATGCAAACATGGAATATTTTATTTGAAATGACTTTACCTTCTTAATTTTACCATGGTTTCTTCTAAACATTTATTTTGAACATTTTTTGTTTCATAAATACAAAGACAAATTTGGAAGAAGTCGGGCATACTCGTGGCACAATTAGAACTTTTCCCCCGAATACTAGTTTTTTCTTTTGGTGCTCCTATTCTCTCAAACCATATACACAGTTTGTATATGTGTGTCAATTGTTTCGAATAAAAAAGAAAATTATTTGAGATTATTTTAAATTCGGAGACAATAGAAATGCATATTTTTCACTTAAAGGGCAAACAAAATATATAATTTTTTGATAACATAATATTGTCCCACCATGGTACTATGATATCAAGGTAGGCCTATGATACCATATGATTTTAATTTTTTTATTTTCTTGGCTTAATATGTCATCTTTATTTGTTTATGTATGTGTTTTCTTTTCAATAACAAAAAAATTGTTTAGAAAATATTCAAATTCGGGTGTTTTCAAAATGTTTATTTCAACGTATGCATCGACAAAATCTAGAGTTTTTGTAGCGAAATAATCCTTTAGAGATATATAGTACATGATTTTGAAAAGAAGTGTTGACCTTTCATTCAGTTTTCGGGGTTTTCAATTATTTATTCAAAATAAATGCAACAAGTTGTTTGATTTTTTACTGTTTTGATACTAATTCTGACATTACAAGCCAAACAGGTAGACCTCTATACTTGCAATTTTTTCAAAGTTGGCCTACCTTCTATTCATTGTACCATGGTACCATGTGTCCCACTATCTTAGATTCAATTTTGTGAAAAAAAACCCAAAATTCCATTCAAATTTTTGTGGAGTTTCCTAGTTTCTTTGAAGTTAAGCAACATTTCCTATGGGGCCATGGGTATACTCATGGTACAATGAAGAGAAGGTAGGTCAACTTTGAAAAAATTGCAAGTATAGAGGTCTACCTGTTTGGCTTGTAATGTCAGAATTAGTATCAAAACAATAAAAAATCAAACAACTTGTTGCATTTATTTTGAATAAATAATTGAAAACCGCGAAAACTGAATGAAAGGTCAACACTTCTTTTTAAAACCAGGTTCTGTATATCTTTAAAGGATTATTTCGCTACAAAAACTCTAGATTTTGTCGATGCATACGATGAAATAAACATTTTGAAAACATCCGAATTTGAATGTTTTCTGAACAATTTTTTTTGTTATTGAAAAGAAAACACATACATAAACAAATAAAGATGACATATTAAGCCTAGAAAATAAAAAAATTGAAATCATATGGTATCATAGCCCTACCTTGATATCATTGTACCAGGGGTATACTCAAAAAAAAATTTACTTTACTTTACCATGTTCACTCACTCTCACCATCTAAGATAAGACCAGCTGATTTCACCCGTATTGTCAAATGCATACAATTGTGAATTAATAGTATGAAAACGTAAACAAACATTTTGACAGTGTGTGGGTCTTTCAATCTCAATAGCGTTTTTTTTATTGTGACTTACACGAACTGTTTTATGAGCCTCGCTCTCATCAGTTGAATTCTTGCTCTCGGACGTTAATGTTGGAGTGAAAATTTTACGGTACATGTTTGAATGTTTGTTTGTTTTTTTTGTTGGCCTGCGCGTGATTAGAAAATGTTTGTTGTGCACTTTTGCTGGCTTCGTAAACGAAATAATTTATAAAGATTGAATGTGTGAAATCTAACAGAAAAGGTCAACGAAAGCAAATTAATACATTTTGTGCGAGAGTTTCAATTACGCTCAATTTTTGGCATTGATAAATAAAGAAATGAAGCCGGAAGATTGGCGAAACTGTGAATGAATGAATAATACTAAGTGCTCAAATATAATTCATCTGCTTTCGAAAGGAAGCAATCAATAAACCAATAACACTAACAACATAATCACGAAACTCGGACATAAAACGAAATGAAAGCAGAAGGGTACTTGAAGAGGGATTGTTTGCCTGTCTGGTCTAGCGAAACATTATTAATTGCAATGTAACAAAAAAAAAAACCTCATTGCCATCAAGTCTCACGGTCGAGAAGGTTTCTATATAAAGAACATTACAACATTTAACAGTAAAACATTCCGTTTATTTGCACAATTCATGATTTTTGTTGCTGTTGTTGTTGTTTTTGCTACTCTACGCTACGCTGAGAACATTGGAACCCCATACAATGGCAACGGAATGAGGTTGCACTCGTGTAATTGAATTGGATACAGTATCTGAGACACGGTGTTAATAATTGCAAATACCTATCCATAGTTTGAATGCTTGTGTATGCATTCCGCATTGTAACATATCCACCACAATTCTGAGAGAATCTCGTTTTAAATTACGGTCTTTCGCATTCATTCGTTAAACTACATATTGAGAAAACATGTTACCACAATAACCGGTCTCTAATATAAAATACTAACTAACGTTGTGCTAAATACAACTTTCAGAGATACTCAGATAATTTGCCAAACAAAGAACCACAGCTACCTACACACAAATACAAACGTACGTCAGATAAAAAAATCAACCGACGAAACAACTCTGACTAGGTAGGTAAGTTGTCGTTTGTTTTCAATTCAGTGCGGGGAAGTGCAGATTTTCGCGATAATGATATTTAAAGAAAAAAAAAATAAATTAGTAAATAACCGCTTCAATTTACAATACCTTGCCGTCTACTAAAATATATAAATTACCGCAAAGTAATTTAAAAAGAAATAGAAATTTTGAACCAGTTTTAGGATAGTTGATATCTAAATTCAATATGGGAAAGGTCAAGAATATAAAGTGATAAAATTATTATTTAATCAATTATGCAGCCGGGTATGGTGTAAGCAAAACCATTAAAATTTATTGCGTAATCCGGATTTATTCAACCAGATTTTACCATACAAAAATAGATCTTACGACCGGATTTATTTTAATTCCAGTGCGGAATCTACATACCGATGAAATGCATCACAGCGATTTTACACTGGTACTTCCGTTCACTTCAAAATCGCAAAGAAATTGTTTACGTTTCGAATTAGAACAATAATAAAATAAATTTAACATTAGTTTTTGCTTATGATAATAAATTTGAAGAAACATTAATTCCCTTGCAGACACTCGCCAATGTGAATAAACAATAATTATACCCCCAGTCATATGGCTAGAGAGGGTATATATCATTTGATACGGCCAGAACGTGTCTCATCGAAATTACGGTTTTAGACCCTAGGTGTCTTTGGGCCAAATCCGTTTCAGAACATTTGGAGTCGATCTAGCGATATCCGTCTGCCTGTCTGTCCGGCTGGTGGGCGAAATTTTCAAAGAATTTTCAATATAAGTGACCAACAATCCACCAAAATAATATTTTAAATATAAGTCATATGTTAACAAAGAATGATTTTCCACAAAAAACAATCGACTGTTTAATAAAACATGCAAAGGGGAATACAAATGTTAAAATTAGAGAAGAAAAGGAAATATCATACAAATCTTTGACGTATATACCTGGATTTTCGGAGAAATTTTGCAGATCGAACGCGTACAATAAGAACAAATTCCAATTAGCTTTAAAAACCAATTACAGTGTCAACAATAGGTTCAGTAGATCTAAAACGGAGACTATAAGATAACATGCAACGGTGACGAAACCAATATATGCCAAAAAGTATAAATTGGTACGACAAAAACAAAATTAAAAACTAGATTTTCCGAACATAAATCGGATCAAAAATCAGACAAATCTTTACAACAAAAGACAGCTCATTGCACATTAACGGGACATAGACCGAACTTTAAGGATGTAGATATAATGGCAAAAGAAAACAACTATAAAAGACGATTCACATTAGAAATGTTACATATCATAAATGTACCACCAGAAAAAAGAATAAACTATAAAACTCATACGGACCACTATACACATATTTATAGAAATTTAGTACATAAAGACAGATGGAAAAATACCAGATTTGTGTAAAATATAAATATTGGACATAATAAAGAGAGAAAAAAGAAATAACTAAATAAAATTATTTTATTGGCCTTCAAATATAGAAAAAATATATATTACTGCAAAAAAAGAGAAGCATAATCCGATTTTGCTCCAACTTAGCATATCCAAATATTTGCATTAGTGCTAGGTCAGGTGCGAAAATGGACAATATCAGTTCTCTCCATCAAGTACCTCCCACACAAAGGGTCAACATTTTGTATAATTATAACTCTTTCAAAATGTGATGTAAGTGTCCGATTGTCTTCAAATTACACATATCACAATATCCTAATTAACCTAAGGTCTGGTGTAAAAATGGTATATGTCGGTTCACTCCTTTTGGTACCTCCTCACAAGGGCTCAAAAAACGCGAAACTACTAACCGATTCCAGTTAGTCTTTTGAAATCGCAATATTGCCATCAACACAAGGTCCGTTATAAAGATGAAAGAGATCGGAGCATTCCTTGTGCTAGTTCCCCCACCAAGGATTAAAGTTTAAATACCCAAAACGATTATAAAATCCGAAATAAGCATCCGGTATCTTTATATTTTGCACATCCCATTATTTTTACTAATCCAAGGTCTGGTGCAAAGAGGAATTGTGTTTGGGCAGATTCAATTTTATTTGTTGAATGTTTGTAAAATGGGCCCAAAATTACATGACCGAACAAACGTTTTAAAATCCGAAAAAAAATTCGTCTTACATGTGAAAGTTGAATCGCAAATTGCCATCTTAAATAACACCAAAATCAGCAAACGAGTCAAAAATTGCCAATTGGTAAGAGCCTTTAATGTAATTGCAAGGAATCGGTCGTATTTTGTACGAATTTTATGGGAACTTGCTTTTTATTCAGTGAAATTTGACAAGGTAAATTACAGAAAATGCAGAGATGGATAGTCTAATTTGAATTGACTTTACCTTCTTCATTTTACCATGATAAAAACATTGAATCAATAAAAATATTTATGAGGGAGTCCGTATACCATCTTTTTTAGAGCGATATGACAACACTGTCGGGACCTGGAGGATAGCAGTGCTCCAGCGAGATTTAAAAATTCGACACTTCGTCCTTGCCTTTTCAATATTATAAGAACAATTTGAACTATCCCAATATGCAGAGTACAGTTTGCATTTATAGAAAATGTTACGTTTCGATTGAAAGTTTCCTCTCATTTAAGGTAAATAGTTAGAGTAACACTCTAAATTATGAGTGTTGTACTTACTTTTAGCTTTAGAAGACTCGGAATATTTAGACTAAGAATTTTAGTTTTTAAATAATCTAAAGGTGAGGGTACATAAGTAGCTTTGCATCATGATTAGGCATATTAGTGTCAAATTATAAAGGGAAACGACGGCAGAATTTGAGTACGGATTTGGTATCCCTTAATGAAGGTTTGCTTAATAGCAGTATTTTTTTTTTTCGAAATTTTCTAAAATAAGGAGTAGATTGTTTAGAAAGCGGTATTAAACATGTTATAAAAGTATGACACACGTAAATATAAATTGAAACCAATTTATGTTGGATTGCCCTTTTTAAGTTCAGCTCTTTGAAATCAGTATTTGTCAAAATGAAGTTTTCTTTGGAAAAGATTTGTGATGATTCATTCTATTTAGAGATGGTTTTATTGTCAGGTTCAAAAAATGGTGAATGAAGAAAATTCTAGACCGAGAATTCTGTCTTTAATGTTTCGTATATTATTTATTTGAAGTAAATAGTATCCCAAAATATATCCATTTCGGAAGATGATACATTGATCTAAATAGGTACATAATGTTTTTTTTTTTTTCACTAAAATAAATGTAATAGTACGTTTACAGTTTACTTGATATAGAGGTAACCGTTAAAAAAGTAGGAGAACACATTTTTAAATAAAAGAGGAATAAAGAATTATTATTTCCTATGACGTCAATATTAGGTGAATGTTTTTTTTGTGGGATTATGTGGTGTTTATATTTATAAGAACATTGTTCAATTATATATATGCTTGCTATGTGTGAAATCTGTCCAGTAGTAGAGTTCTTTTTTGGGTTACCCATAAAATTCGACAAAATGGAAACGCAAAATTATAAATAAAAAATTCAAATAAAGTTTGGCAACACCATTGCTTTCAGTAGGGCCTTGCTACTTTATTTTGGTCGTTAGCATACCGCAAACGTTAATTAACGAAATTGTGAGCATTGTCCATGGCAGAAGAATACAGGTAGATGCATCAACGCTTGGGAGCATTGATATGTCAAAAAAATTTAAATGTTTTTTCAAATATAAGTAGATTTTTATATGTTTTCTTATACTACGTCATTCGGAGGCTATTATAATTTGCGTTTTTCAACAATTTTTACAAATTTAAATAATTTTTCATTCAACAATTTCAATTCCAAAATTAGTTTGACAGTTCATTGTCCCAGCAGCTGTGTCGACGAGTCTACCTATATTCTTCTATCATGGCATTGTCTGAGTTAGCCGTGGCCATTCACAATAATTTTTTCGTATATTTTCGATTGTCAACATTTATTTCGATTGGTAAATTATTAGGACTGATATATGTTTACAGACAAATCTTTATCCGGGTTAACCCCGATAAGTGACTAATAACAATAATTTTGACTGTGGATTACACGCGTTAAATTTATTATTATTTGTGATTTAACAGACTTAACCCGGGTACCGGTTTTGTATGTAAACGTGCTATTAACAAGGGTACATTAATATCGCGTTACGATGTCAAGTTGTATGCGAATTAACTCACATTATCAAGATTTATTGCTTAATCCGGATTTATTCAATCAAATTTACCACACGAAAATATATCTTCTTACGACCGAAATCATTTAAAATCCGGTGGATAGTCTTCATACTAACGAAATGCATCGCAGTTTTTTGTATTGGTACTGAATTACAGTTATCGTAGTACAATTTTTTAAATTTTTGTAGATCTGAAACAGAGCCTGTATTTGTTCAAGATAATACATTTGAAAGTGCATTATTTTCCTTGCAAACGGCCCCAATATGAATGAACACGTATTTTCTCTTTCTTCTCGAACATCAGCTGATTGACATTTACGTCCTCCCAGAGTAGAAGAATACATCGCATCGCATCGACACAGCTCCTGGGACAATGAACTGTCAAACCAAAAATTTATTCAAATTTGTAAAAATTGTTGTTGCTGTTACAATGAACTGTCAAACTAATTTTGAAATTGAAATTTTCTAATGAACGATTATTCAATTTCGTAAGAATTGTTAAAAATTAATCTCCTAACAACCGCCGATTGACGTAGTACAGGACAACATATACAAATCTACTTATTTTTGCAGAAACATTTAAACCATTTTGACATATCAATGTTCGCAAGCGTTGATACATCTACCTGTATTCTTCTACCATGCGCCCTCCTAAACGCAATAAGCAATAAATCCGGATAATGTGGGTTTATCCGGATACCATTGGCTATCTAAATACACTATAATTCGTCTCATTACGTAAATATAAGCATTTTAACACGGCTGCCAACTTTAGATTGATTTTATGATATTGAATTATAATGGCCACCAATTTTGTATGTTTTTACTA